TAATATAAAGAACAAGAAGAAAACTGAAGGTACACAACACAAAGGGAGCACAGCCCTGCCAAAGCCTGGTAGGAACTTGGGCTGAGTTGGAGGAGTGTTGACTTGGTCACACTCTGAGGAATATCAAACCTCGGGGAGGAGGTGCTGCTGACTGCTGGTGGCTGGGAGATCCGTTTTGAGGTTTAGATGTGAAAACAAGGTTAACAAAAGACTGGAAAGGTTTCAGAGGAGGGCTATCAGATTGATACGTGGGCTGATAAATCTCTGAAACACACAAGAAACTCGGTCTACTCAGATTATAGAAGATGAAAAGAAAATGTTTTCGTGTTTTTTCTACTTAATTTCATGTGGATAAAACTCACTTTCTTGACTCCTCCTTAGTTTTGCTAGGAAAAGCAGAAAGCATCCAGCAGTTGGAAGCTGAAGTCCATAAATTTCAACCTGAAAGTAAAATGTGCATTTTATAACGTGGCAAGTAACCACAAGGAAAGCCTCCCAAGAGGCTTGATGGGCTCGTCCTAATTTGCAGACTTCAAAGGAAACTGGATGTCTGTCTGTAATATACACACACAGTCAACCACAGATGTTGCAGCTGTGCTGAATCACAGAATCATTAGGGTTGGAAAAGACCTTTAAGATCACCAAGTCCAACTGGCAGCCCACCCCCACTGTGTCACCAGCCACATCCTTCAGTGCCACATCTCCACGTTCCTTGAACACCTCCGGGGATGGTGACCCCACCGCCTCCTGGGCAGCTGTGCCAGTGCATCACCACTCTTTTGGAGAAGTTTTTCCTTGTTTCCAACCTGAGCTGACTGCTTGGCTTCTATCACAAGTCTTGTGTGAATGCTCAGACCTGGGTGTTAGAGTGTCTTTTTCCAATTTTTCTGTGAATTGGCATATTCCTCTGCAATCTCATCAGACTGCCCTGGGTTTTGTGGTCAGCGTGATGTTCTTCTAGGAATTGCTACACTTAGAAAGTGCTTCAGTCTTCTGCAAAAGTACGCATTTCTTTCATTCTTGTCTTCTCCCCTTTCCTTCTCTATTAGAAACTGTTTAAGTTGCCCTTTGAGGCTGATGGGTCTGGAGCTCTATGGTTCCTTGCCCATGAGGTATTAGGCTGCATGTCAGCTCCACCAGGATACCTGGAATGTGCTTTCAAGCAAGCATGTAAACCTTTAAAAAGATATTGATGGTCACCTTAAAGTAGGATCTATTTCCAGAGCAAATAATAATTTATTTATTGTTTGGAAATACATGCTGAGCTCCAGAGGCAGCACGTGGCGCAGCCGTGCCTCTCTTGTAATCATTGGAGACCTCATCAGCAACAACCAGGAGCTCAGATGTAGATATCCCCACAGCAGGAGGGAGACTCAGCTGTTTGAGTTTAGGTATCATTATTTGAACCTCTTAGCAGGAATCAAGAGTGAATGATAGTGCTGGCTCCTATGGAGAAATCCAGAGCTGTATGAGATCATGGAATTGTTTGAGTAGGAAGGGACCCTTAAAGGCCATCTAGTCCATCTCCCCCCCAGTGAACATCAGTTTGCTCAGAGTCTGATCCAGCCCCACCTTTTGTCTCATGTCTCATCCTACTTTGCCCAGGGAATGCTAGCCCAGCACCTGGGGTAGGTGCACTGCATGCCCAAGAGTTGTGTGTTTCTTTAACAGAAACAAGCTCATCAATGAAGTCCAAGATTCAGTCAAGGTCCAAGGTCCATCAGCAAACAAACGTCCTTCAGCTTTCACAGATGAGGAGGCAAATGAGCCTCCTCCTTCATCTCTTTCCCCAGTATGGTCCCTTGAGCTTCAACTGAACACAAGTAAGGCACCTAAGCTGATTATCTGGGCCAGAAACGCTGCCTTGGGAGACACCAAAGCACTTCCCAGTGGTAGGTTTAGTCTGCAGCACAGCTGTGGTGAAACAGAGGAGAGAAGGAGGCCTTTCTTTGCCCATTCCCCTTTTGCTAATGAGTAGTCATGCAGAATGTCTTTTAGACTGACCTTGACAGTGGCAAGACTCTTCATGTGCATGAAGCATTGTCTTCTGCCCTGAGAAGTAATGGGAGCCCATCTTGGATGTGCCCAAGGCCAGGCTGGATGGAGCCTTGGGCAGCCTGATCTGGAGGGGCAAACAGCCCATGGCAGGGGTTGGAAATGAATCATATCTGAGTGCTCTTCCAACCTGAGCCATGCTGTGATTCTCTGCTGTTGAAGGTCCTCCCCTGTTTGTACAGAAGTTAAATACTCTGAGCTGAGCATCGCTGTATCTGTGGTGCTTCTCTTGCCAGAGCTAGTGATGACTTTACATTTCTTCCTCAGCAGGTGTTTGACTTGGCATGGGAAACGGTCAGTCAGGGGTCTGGCTGTGCTCAGTGCTGTGTGGTAGAATGGACCCTTGTGGTGACAACCATGGAAGCATCCCTTGCATTCCTCTTGCACTTCTGCAAGAGATTTTGCTGCCTCTCCTCCCCATGTGCTGCAGGTTTTGTTACAGCAGGACAGGTCATCTGCCTTTTTACATCAGGGGATTTTCATTAAGCATGTTTTACACTCCAGCAGTAGCTTTGGCATGGTTTATTTCTCCAGCCACGGGGCTCCTCCAAGAGGAATCCAAAGAATCTGAGGCCGTACCAGATAATAAGGATGTAGAAAAGTGTCTTTCAAGGACTCAAATCATTCATTTTACCTTGAAATGGTGTGGGGCTCAAACGTTTCAGTGAAGAAAAAGCATCCCCCATCCACATCAACAGTAATTCAGACCTCTTCCATGAGCAAGGGAGAACCAATAGCAAAGGGAGTGTCCTTGGTGCTGGGCACTGACCTGGAAATGGTCACCAAAGCTGTCTTTCTTTTGTCACGAGGCAACAAAGAGGAAACACTGCTCATGGAACGAGGTGACCGGTCCCACGGTGCCAGGTTAAGTGCTGCCATCGAATCTTTGGCATTCACAGCCCAGCCGTGCTCCGCATAGTCCTGGAAAGAGCTGTGCACAAAGCAAGCTGAAAGAACAAAGGCTTCATTTTTTTTCCTCTCTTCTTCGCAGTTTTTATGTGTTTGCTTTGAAATACTCAACCTAACGGAAGCACGTATCTGATTGAGAAACGACGGTTCAGGAAAGTCAGCTTAGAGCTTTTGCAGTTTTTGCCGTCTTTGCCCAGCGGTGTTCATCCTGTGTCACAAAATGTCTGTGTCTCACGGGTGTTTTCTGTTGTTTGTCACTTCATCATGTCCCGTATCAGCAAAGCTCTCTGCATGGCGTGGTTGAGGCTGGTCACAAAGGTGCCTGATGCTTGTGTTAGAGCTGCATCACACCTTGTGATGAGGTTATCACTGGGTAGCACTATCCCAGATTGTGCTTTTTTCCTCTCTTTCCTTTTTAGCTATTACTCTGCATGCCTTAAATACTTCTGGAAAGGTGCTCAGAGAGCCTGTGGGATCTCCATGCTTGGATGTATTTGGATGTCAGCTGGGCATGGGCCTTAAACAGAATGATGTGACTTTGAAAGTACTCAGCACTGAGCAGCTAGTTGGACTGCAACCCTCCAGAGGTCACTTCTGACCTAAATCTTTCTGTGATTTCATTATTGAGCGTTTCCCTGATGTCTTTGACAATAAGAGCAGTTACTGAGAATCATAGAACGGATTGAGTTGGAAGGGACCCTTAAAGGCCATCTGGTCCAACCCCCCTGCAGTGAACAGGGACGCCCACAGCTCCATCAGGTGCTCAGAGCCCCTGGAGAAATGTTTAGGACTGTGGGATCAGGTTGCCCAGAGAAATGGTGGATGCCCTATCACTGGAGACACCCGATCAGGCTGGGTGGAGCTCTGATCACTGATGGAGCCCCATCTGATGGTGGGTTGGGGTTGGACCTGATGGCCTTTAAGGGTCCCTTGCAACTCAGTCCATTCTGTGATTCCGAGAGCACCCACAGGCTGTGTGCTCATCTCAGTCCAAAGCCAATCCCTACTGCAGGGCAATCTGTAGCTTGGTCTCATCTTCCTTCCAAGGCCTTTCTCTGCAGAGAGAAATGTTCTTTCTTGGAGACGGTGTGAGATCTATGTTGATGAAGAAGCAGCAAGTTCTGGCAAGAGCTAACAGGCTCCAGAAATGTTACCCATGTCTCATCTTAGCACCAGCATGAGATACTGATCCCAGAAGTGTGTAAATATGGGCCCTGAATGTGGGAGACCGGGGCAGTAAGGAGGGATCGAGGTTGCTGAGCACTGCCCAGTAGGGGGACAGATCCACACGGTGGCCCCATCCCACCTGCTGTTAGAACAGCTCCGACTGCAGTGTTCCTACCTGGCCATAGGCAATACCAGGGCAGAGCAAAGGGTGGGCAGCTGCCTGGAGTGTGTGAAGAGCTGCTGGAAGGTCCCATTGTGCTCAGTGGGACAAGAGGCGTCTGTGGGTGTGCTATTTCCAGGGCATTCTGACTCGGCAGAAGACTCACCATTGTCAGCATGTCAGGTCAGGTTTGTGTTGCATGCTCATGCTGCTGTACACACCTCCCTTGATTGGCGTGTGCAACTTGCAGACCCAGCACACCAAGCAGGAGAGAAGCTGCTTGCTTCCTGCGTCTGCCTGTTCCTTATGAAGCCTCTCTATGCAAATGTCAAAGTACAAAACCCCCTACTTCCCCATGGCAAGCAAGGAGGATTATATATTGCTGGGCTGGTAGCACTTTTCCAGGAGAACAAGGCTGTGTTTGCTCCAACCCTGGGCTCATTTTGCTTGGGAATGAATGATCTCTTTACAGTTTTCTTGCCAAAGATGCTTCCCTATGTGGTTTCTAATTATGTGAGCTGTGAAAACCTTAACTAATGTCTTCAAAAAGCAAAAACCAGGATCTCCAGACCCCTGGAGAGTCCTGCCGCTGCTGGAAGCAAATTCAGTAGCTCCAAATAGCAAAAACTCACAGCTGCCTGCCTCCAGCCAGGGGATGTGGTCGTGTCCATGCAAGCACCTGACTGAGGCCTCTCTCCTTCTCTTCCAGCTCCTTCAGCTGTGTCCATCATGCACCAGGTCAGCCGCACTGTGGACAGCATTACCCTCTCGTGGTCTCAACCTGACCAGCCCAACGGAGTCATCCTGGATTATGAGCTACAATATTATGAGAAGGTACTGCGGGATTGGCTGCAAGATTTGGGGAGAGGAGGTGATGCAAAGGGCGTGCACAGGCTACTGCTTTTGGCTCATCAGTGTGGGTGGCACTGGCTGTCAACATTTTGGAGCACAGTGATGGTTACAGCTCAGTGCTTAGGCAGCATAACTGTGTTGGTCTTTCAGGAGGAGCTTCTCCTTTCTTCACCTCTCCTGCTGGTGTCAAGAGGACCCATTGCAGGGAGAGCCGTGCAGCCAGCAGCCAGTTCAGGGTTTAATTTTTCCCTTTTCATTGGTGGGGAATGGGAACTGGGGGGCTGTCACATAGCATGTTATGCCAGGATGGATTGTGTTAGCCAACTGTCCAATCTTTGAGATTGTGTGTCAGTGCATTTGCACAGAAGATGAGTTTGCACCTGTGTGCAGCAGCCTCAACCCCTTTACCTGGGTGTTATACCAGGGGAAGGCTGTTCCAGATCCCCATGGAGGGAACACATTGCACTACCAACTTAAGGTGAGGCTGGTGAGGATCCCATAGCTCTGGCTCTTCCATCCGCTCTTCCATCTCCTCCCAGGAGAGGAGTGGTGTCCTATGGGTCTGCCAAGGGATGTGAAGACTGCACTGATAATGGTCCCAGGACATGCCAAGCTCTGCATGACTGCTGAACTTCATCCACGCCATTCAATGGAGATGGGGATTGGAGAGCAGAAGATTTCTCCTTCCAGGAATCTGCCCCTTTGCCTAAAAGCTTATAAACTATATGTTAAAAAAAAATGCAAACTAACTAATTAAAAAGCTTTATGATTAAATGGAACTGAAAATATTTTCCCAGCAGTTGCCGGAAGAAATGATTAATCCCCCCCACTGCCTGTGACCTATTTTCTCATCACCAAGAGCCAGAGGGAGAACAGGGAGGCGGGAGGAGCTTCTTTGTAGACTGTTAAATAGGTCCTGACCTATATTGCATAAATCACAGCCTTTTATTTGACCCTTGGAGATGATCCCAGAATACATGGCAAGATGGATGAGAAGGTAACAAGACGCATCTGGAAAGCAAGAAGGGTCCTTTCCCCAGGGACACTCAGAATGATCTCAGGCAGTTCATTCTACCAATCTTGTTTTCTCTTAGTCTCATCCTCTTTCTTTTTTCCCTCAGTTTTCTGGGGGAGGCTTGGCTAAAGGGGAAGCTGCTCTTTGTGGCAACCAACAAGGTGTTCATCTACTTTCCCCTGTTGTCAAATATTTGGACACAGTCCCTCCCTGATCCCAAGGACAAACGGTCCAAGCCACACTTGGGCGATGCTTTTTATGGCAAAAGGCTTTTATGGCAAAAGGAGGCACCAGCACAGGCAGAGAGGACAACCCAAGCTGCCCAAGTGCTGTCACTGCAGCTCTCTCTTCCTGGGCTTTGAACCTCTTGGTACATTTTTTTTGGTATCTTCTTTACTTCCAAGAGGCACACTTGATCAGGTTGACTGACACACTTGACTGGGATTGGAAATGTAACGGCTGGACTGGATGATCTCAGTGCTTGTTTCCAACCTTAGTGATCCTTTGATTCTATGCTTTTGAGATACCCCCAGACCCAGTTGCTCAGTGATGATACCCAGAAGAGTATGAAGTTGTGGGCCCCAAGGATCCATCCCAGGAGTAACCAGAATGACCCTCCTACCACATCTGAGCATCCCTCCTAATGCTTTCAACCCCGAGGGGGCTGAAATTCACATTTGTGTTATTATTTGGCATCCAGCCTTGGACTTGCTTTGTACGTGTGACTCTGTTTGCTTCAGGAACCACAACAGATTGCTGCTGTGCAGATGCAGAGAGGAACTGCCTGCCAAATTAAGTTGGTTGACATTTTTCTTTGCTTTTTTTTTGGCTGATAAAACATGACTTTTTAGAAACCATTTCTGCAAATCCTTCGGGCGTTTCACAGACTATGCATGTTTCAAGAAACTCTTTGTTGATCAGACTTCAGTTTCAGAATAGATTTGATTCAGAGGGAGAAGAACCAGATGAGGACACTAAATGAAGTCTATCGGGAAGTTAGAAGTATGTTGTTCTCAAACTCAAAGCAAAATCATCTAGAAAAGCCCTGCAAAAGTGAGGTTAGGGAAACAGCAAAGGAACATAGGCTTTAAACCACCTGGACATGCTGGAGAAGCTCAGAAGGGTGAAAGGAGAGGAATGTTTGAAGGGAACAAGCAAGCTGCTGAAGGGATGATGTCTGAGCAATATGCCAAAGGCAAAGAGTAGATTTATGAAGAGATTTACCAAGCCATTTTTAAGTCTTAGCCCTGTTAGGCTTGAGGGAAAGTGCTCCAGAGTGATTAAACTGCAGTCACCATCTACCTGGTTCCAGCCATGTGGGTTTGTCTCCACAAACCCATAAATGCTCTTTCCTTGCATGAGGGGAGTTAGAGAGCATAGGTATGAGAATACCTTCCTCAGACATTCGTTTCCTAGCCTATAAACCATCTTGTAAGCATATCTGTGGCATTCGACTTAAAATCCTCCAGGATGACGGTGGGGGTGAGGTACTCGCCAACAGTTGGACAGATGATTTTAAAACAACTGTGGTGTTAATGCCATCCGAGGGCCTGGGAGGTTTCATCCAAGCCCTTGGGCAGTAAAAATGAAAACGCTTCCTGACCTACTTCTCTCCTTGCCTTCCTGGGAAAAATCCATGGGAGTTCTGAGGCCTTTTCACACAGACGAGGCAATCAGTTTTCTGTGAGCTCATTTTTTCTCGATCTTTGTTGTCTTTGTATCTGTAATTGAGCTTCTTGAGCACATCAGAACCCCTAAGTCGCTCTCCACAAGGCTGCCCTCGATGAGTTCTTCTCCCACTCTGTACACATACCTGGGATTGCCCCACTCAGTTGCAACACCTTGCACTCAGCCTTGTTGAACCTCATAGGTTCTTATGGGACCACTTCTTGAGCCCGTCCAGATCCATTTGGATGGCATTCCTTCCTTCTGCTGTATCTACTGCACTGCTCAGCTTGGTGCCATCAACAAACTGCTGAGGATGCTCTTGATCCTGCTTCTTATGTCACTGATAAAGGTGTTAAAGAGTACCACTGCCCTGGGGGACACCACTCATCACTGGCTTCCACCTGGGTGTAGAGCCACTGACTACAACCCTCTGGCTGCAGCCATCCAACCAATTCCTTGTCCAGTGAATAGTCAGGTTGAAATGCCCTAGAAGGATGAGAGTGAGTGTGGTGCTTCTTGTAGCTGAAGCTGAAGGCCTCATCCTTAGGTTCCCCTTGATCTGATGGCCTGTAGACCCCTGTAGACCCCAACCACCAGATGTCTTTTTTTAGTCCAGTCCTTAATTTTTGCCCACAAACTCAACCCATCTGTGGCAATTTCTGAGGCAGCTCTTAGCAATCTATCCATTTCTTAACACAGAGAGCAATTTGCCCATTTCTGCTTCCATTCTGAAAAGCCCTCGATTGTCGTGGTCCCGTTTTGTGAATGGTCCCACCAACGTTTCCATGATAGCAATTAGGTCATAGTTCCCTAATTGCACCGTGGATTCCAGCTTCCTGTTAATTTCCCATACTGCATGCATTGGTGTAGACAGAAATCTTTCTGTTAATACAGCCCAGCGTGCACTTGGCCTTCTGGGCTGGATCATGCTAACGTGAAACAAGAAGAAATTCCTCCCTGCCACCCAATGGAGTTTCACAACTCAAGCCCCTCAACCCCAGGTCCACTTGATGGGGTTGTGCAAACTGTATCTTTGTGACTTCTTTCTGCCAGTCGTCTAAAATCTCGTGAGAAGTGAGGTACCTCTCCTGACTGGTGATCTGTGCTTGGTGGGCTTGCCAAGCCCCTTGCAGTGACTTGAAGGCAGCAATTCTCAGTGACTCACTTGCAAATTTGCCAGGATTTTTAGGTGATCTGTTCCAACCAGTGACCCCACCAAAGCAACCTCACCTGCCAGATAGGAGGTGCTACTGAAAAGGATAAATGGGGTGAATAACCACACGAAAGGGGGCGGGATAGAAATTTGGAATTTCTGTACTTCTGAGCATTGCAGTGCCTGATTCTGGTGCGGTGTCCAGAACCTTGACTCTCTTTTTTGATGACAGATGTATATTTTCTTGGCAGAACCTGAGTGAGTTAAATTCAACAGCAGTGAAGAGCCCCACCAACACTGTGACAGTGCAAAACCTCAAGGCTGGCACAATCTACGTCTTCCAAGTGCGAGCACGCACCGTGGCTGGGTACGGCCGGTATAGTGGCAAGATGTACTTCCAGACCATGACTGAAGGTGAGTCTTCACCTGCCTCTGCATAAACATGAAACAAGTCTAGAGAGCCTTGAACAAGATGGAGGTGCACTGGTTGCAATGCTAGTCCCCTTCCTGATAATCCCATCAGAGGTGCATTGATAAGTCACCTGGATTTATTCAACCTGGCAAGCACTGGAGAAAGATTGGGTACTTGGTATTCCATGCAGGGAATCACTTTGTCTAGGCCAACTTCTGCCAAGCTTTTCTGGCATGGGCACCTGCCTGTTCAGTTGAATTTAAAGGAAATGGAATTTATGATGTTCATCTGCAGAGCTGTTGATGACAAATGTGTTTTGGGTCTCTACTTTTTACATTTGTGCAGCTAAATAAAACAAGCCAAGCCAGTTTTCTAGCCTTGAGGCCAAGTAACAAGGCACAGCATGCATCCACAGGACTAAACATTCCCACCCAAAAAGGATAGCTCCATCCAACCTTCCTGCTTGAGAACATCCTCTGTCAGAGCCAACATGAGACATGCTCTGGACATAGCCCAGACAAAAACCACACCAAGAAGCACCACAGCAGTAGCCATGCAAATAAATGTAGGCCATCCTTGATGAACGTATTGTCAGTCCGTGCAGTAACTCATTCCCTCTTCCTTTCAGCCGAGTACCAGACCAGTGTCCAGGAGAAGCTGCCACTCATCATTGGCTCCTCTGCAGCAGGACTGGTGTTTCTCATTGCTGTTGTTGTCATCATTATTGTGTGCAACAGGTAGGTCAGTCTGAGAGCATCACTTGGGGCCCTCTGTACTGGGGCTGTGCAGGGAGATGGCAGCTAGAGATGGAGAGTGGTGGGGATAGAAATTGGAGAGGATGGAGATGGGCATGTTAAGTGTTCAGGAGTTGAGTGTCAATGAGCAGCCACTGGCACTGGCTGATGGTTGAACTATGTGATCTTAACGGTCTTTCCTGCCTTAGCGATTCTATGGTCCTTGTGACCCCTCCTAATTTGGGATAGTCTGTTATTCCACAAAAGTGGGGGAAGAGTGCATTTCAGTGCATTTCTCAGCCTCAGCTGACCTGTGCACGTTGCTCAGGACTCCCTTTCTTTCCAGAAGACGGGGCTTTGAACGTGCCGACTCTGAGTACACCGACAAGCTGCAGCACTATACCAGTGGCCACAGTACGTACCGTGGTCCCCCGCCAGCCCTGGGGGTCCGCTCTCTCTTCGGTTTGTGTTCCTGTTCACTCATTCCTTGCTTTGTACGGGGAGGGCTCAGGGTCCTTAGCCAGGCAGATCTGTGCATGTGAACACAAGAGGATCCTTGTGCTAGGCAGGGCTCCCAGAAGCATGGCCAGATCCTTCTTTAGAAAGCTTCTGTCTAACAAGGCTAAGCTTTTGCAGGAAACTACTGGAGAGATCTGGACTGTGTGTTTGGCTTATGTCTGCTTGCCCTCCACTTCTTCCCTCCATCCCTGTTCATTGCAGAGGAGTTGGACTAGATGGCCTTCAGAGATCCCTTCCAACTCTAAGGATTCTATGATTCTGTGATCTCACTGTGCACTGCTGAAACATGCCTCTGGTTCCCCACACCCTTCCTAGACACTGGCTGTAGCAGCCTCGCGCTTTCTGAACCAGCATGTTGCATCCCCTAGAACCAGAGTTTGGCATTTGTTGCCTGGATCACCCACTTGCATCATCTAGATTCCCTACCTGCCCTCTATGGTCTCTGCCACACTTAGCAGAGTTTGTGCTCTCCAAACCTGCATGGTTTTGGATACCAACAATAAAGTGGGCCCCCATGCATGCCCAACAAACTTCTGCAACATCAAACAGAAACTCTTCCACATGCCCCCAAAACTCCCTCTCCTGCTGTGAAGCCCCTACCACCACACCTTGTCTTGCTGCTCAGATTCTGAGCTTTTCCCAACTTGCCTGCTTCCTATGGAGCACTGTCCTCCTGCAGGAGCTCACATGGTGCCTTTGCCATTGACCGTCCCACTGCTTCCAGAATCCTAGTAAATATGATCCATCTATCTTATGGTTTTTTTACAAATGTATGGCATGCTATGCATTGTATCTATATGTATTGTAGGTATTTTGGGATCTGTAGAGTTCTGTATCTATATATGGAGGTTTAGATTGGATATAAGGAAGAAGTTTGTTACAGTGAGGGTGGTGAGGCACTGGCACAGGCTGCCCAGAGAGGTGGTGGTGCCCCATCCCTGGAGACACCCAAGGAGGGGCTCAGAGCACTGATGGGGCTGTGGTTGTTCCTGTTCATTGCAAGGGTGACAGACTAGACTTAGGGTCCCTTCCAACTCAAACTATTCTACGTAATAGATACAGTACATAACATGCCCTCTCTTGCAGCCTGTCTCTTTGACATCCTCATGCACTACAAGGCACTCCCTCACATCCAGCATTCCTGCTTCCAACCTCCCTACGCACCCTGCCTCACCCTCATTCTCCTCACCAGTCCTTGGCTGCATGCCCTCCAAAATGCCTTTTTCCTTCCTAACTAGAGATCTGTCACTAAACTTCTGCTTTGTTCCAATCTCAGTTGTTATGTACATCATGTTATTTTTGCAACTTCGGGGTGTTTGTACTTTGTTCTTTTACAGACACTGGGCTTTGTTCTGAAAACAGTCGTGCCTGGAGAATATCAGTAGTATTTTGGCACAGGGCTCACTGGTGTTTCTGTTCTTACCTTGGAAACATTTTCCATAAGGCAGAGCACTGAACGGTGACTCCATGCCAGAACAGCATTGTGCTGGCTGCATTGCTATAACTTACCACTAAAAATGACACTCTTCAAGAAAGATTATGTAAATGCAGCTCTCAGTTGTTTGTCAGTCCTTGCTGCATGTGTAAACATACATTCTCACTTTCTGCTGGGGTCTGGTGTGCAACATGACAGCTTCAGGCTGGGAAGGCATTAATAGCTGTGCCTTCACAACTGTCGCAATAAGAGAGGTGCCACCAGATACAGACGGACTGATAACAGGCCTGGGGTGCCTTTTAGCCACATCACTCAAGACACCAATCCAAGGCATAGTCTCTACTCTGTTTCCCAGCAGTGATTGCTGTAGAGAGGCTACACTTATGCTTAACAGATTGCTAAGGCATAGGCAGCCTTAAAGTCCTTAGCATTGCAGCAGCTTGCCTGTATAGGTCTGACCATCATCCTATGTCTGGACCTGGGAGTTGTGTCTCTATTTCTGTGGTCTCTGCTCTACAAATACTTCCAATCTGGAGACTGGCCAGAGCCCACGATTGTGGTATAAAGCTGTCCTCAGCTATAGGTAGCAGTGGGGAGAGCAGAGAACAGACTGGGCTCTCTGTCCTGATTGCATTGCCCATGGAAGGATCACAGAATCTCTAATAGAGGGGTCAGTCTTATGGCTGTACATTAGTACCAGGCACCTTGGAGCCACCTCTATGTACTAGAGAATCAGCATGTGCCTGCATTAATGTCTCAAGGCAACCCTCACCATCTCCTGGACTAGGTCCTGGACTACTTGAGCCCAGGTCTTCTCCTCTGCTTTCCCATGTATCTGATGTTTACTGAGGAGGAAGATGATGCAGGGAAGGCCAGCGGGGCCTTTCAGCTCCCTGCTATGTGCTAACCCTCTGCATACACGTGCATTACTGTGCACAGAAACACGAACACACACAAATGTACTCACACACATGTATGCATACATGGATATACATGCAGTCATGGGCACACAGTCCCATGTAGGCACACACAACCCCCACATGCACACGCAAATAGATTTCTCTTGATGTCAATTTTTGGTCACTCCAGTTGTGCCTGTCTGTCTGACTCTCCCTCTACTTTACACAGTGACTCCAGGGATGAAGATTTATATTGATCCATTTACCTATGAGGATCCCAATGAGGCTGTCAGGGAATTTGCAAAAGAAATTGATATCTCCTGTGTGAAAATCGAGCAGGTGATTGGGGCAGGTAGGTGAACTGGGAATGTTGGCTGGGTCCCACAGTCTTGATGAGGATTCAGCCATGTATGTATGAGGAAAACTAATGTGAGTAAGGTTTTATGCTTAACTACAGCGTTCCTGGACTGGCAGGAACATGGTGGTCTCTGGACCACATCCAGTCTGTCCATAGTGCCCAGTGCTTCTCACCAAAGGATGAATTCTTCTGGAGCTCACTGCTGGAGCCCCAAGGAGTGGGGTCTCTCAGGGGTTAGGCAGAGCTCTGGAAGGCCAACGAGTTCAACCTGTTTCTCTCTGTTCACAGGGGAATTTGGTGAGGTGTGCAGTGGGCATCTCAAGCTGCCTGGCAAAAGAGAGATCTTCGTGGCCATCAAGACCCTGAAGTCTGGTTACACAGAGAAGCAGAGACGGGACTTCCTGAGTGAAGCCAGCATCATGGGGCAGTTTGACCACCCCAATGTCATCCACCTGGAGGGAGTAGTGACCAAGAGTTCCCCAGTCATGATCATTACAGAGTTCATGGAGAATGGCTCTTTGGACTCCTTCTTGAGGGTATGAAATCCCAGGGTCAGAGGAGGACTGGGAGGGGATGGGGGGAGATTCCTTCTTTGTGCCAGTATAGCTTGTCCTTCACTGCCCACCGGGGAGGTTTGTGGCCTCAGGAGAAGTGGTGGCATCAGGGCTGTCATGTTATGTGTCCTCAAGATTGAACCAAGCCTTACTTTTTTAGTACAATTACATAAATCAAAGTTACAGGCTTTAAGAAAAAGGAAGTTTTCCCAATGCCTTAGAAGTGATCTGTTACTCTTTCACTCCTGTGTGTGGCATCTAGGTCAGGTCATCCTGTCCTGGTCATAATGGTATTGGGTGGAGTTGGGCTCCATAAATGGAGCCAGGAGTTGGACTCAGTGATCCTTGTAGTCTCTTCCATCTCGGAGTATTCTGTGATTCTGTGTGTTTCTACACTTGTACTAGAGGAGTGTTGCTCATTTCAGAGCAACTCCTTTACAGACATGGAGGTGAGTTCTGCCAGATCTTTTACACAGCAGGGCTCCAGCTCCAGCTGCTGTGTCTAAACATTTACAGGCCTGAGTCTGATGTGAATAATTCACTGTGTGGAATGAATGCCGAATTCACTTGCTTATTAGGAATAGATTGCCCCTTCCAAACCCTCCCGTGCAAGATGTGGCAGATCTGTCACCTCTGAATGTCAGCAGCCATTGGTATTGGTGCCTGTAGGGCGTGTGAGGGTGCCTTCCAGCCCTTGTGAGCTCTCCCTTCTCTTTCTTTGAGAGGGAACTTGTGCTGCTGGTGGCATAGCTGTGTCTTGACATGTGATGTAAACAAAGACTACTGGCTGTTTGCCCGCTCACGACAGGCTGTGGGTTTGCACCTCTCATGTCGATTCTTTCCTTTTTTCCCTAAGCAAAATGATGGGCAGTTCACGGTGATCCAGCTGGTGGGCATGTTGCGTGGCATTGCAGCAGGCATGAAGTACCTGGCTGATATGAACTACGTGCACCGGGACCTGGCTGCCCGTAACATCCTGGTCAACAGCAACCTGGTCTGCAAAGTGTCCGACTTCGGCCTCTCCCGTTTCCTGGAGGATGACACCTCTGATCCCACTTACACCAGTGCACTGGTAAAGCTGCTTTTGCATAGCAGGAGGGGTGGGTGGGGAGGAAGGGAGTGAGAGAGAAGTCTCCTGTTGATGTTAAGAATGCTTTTCTCAGGGTACCAGCAAGGGGAATAATGTGCCACCTGGGAAATATCAATCGAATGAATGAAGGAAGGTCTTTTCTTGCAAGTTTGTGCCCAGTTGTTATTCCAGCAACTGTTGATAGGCCTTATAGTCATACCTATGGAGAAGACTTTCTTGATCAGTACGACTGCAGCCAGTAGTTTTCCTAGATCCCATCTTTTGCAGGGGCAGACAGCACCACCCCACTGCAGTGCCTATGAGACGCGTTCTTGGAAATAACTGTTGATAGAGCTGGGGCAGGATCTGTAGGAAATGATCCCTCCCAGATCTTTTGGAGCTGCCAGTGAGAAGATGTCAAGCACAGCTCTTCATGAATTCTTTTAATTTAATTTAATTCTTAAAAAATAATTTAATCTTTTTTTATTCTGCTTCTGAGATAGATGACAGCAAAGGGATGGGAGGGGGATTGAAGAGGAATTTGTTTGATTTTTTCCAATTTCACAGTCATTCATTGCCAGCACAATGGACATTTTGACATGCCAGGGTTGCTGTAACTGTAGGCAGGTGGAAAGAGCTGAGCTTGTTTAATAAGGTGAAATGAAGGCTGAGTGCCCTCCTAGAAGTGACCTGCAGTACTTGAAGAGCAGGAAGAAGTCAGAGCCAAACAGTTTTCATTGGTACCATATGGTGTAACAAGGAGCAATAGACAAAATCATAGCGTGGGACACTCAGGTTGAATAATAGGAAAAACTTCTTCCCCAGGGGCTTGGTGCAACCCTGAACAAGTCACCAGACAGATGAGGGGGATCATCAACCCTGAAGGTTGCCAGGAGCTGGCTGGACAAAGCCATTCCCAAGCTGTCGATAGGGATAGTTGAGAGATCCCTTCCTCTGGGATTTTATTGGTATATCAGACAAAAGTGTTTTGGACACATCTCTTTCAATTGCTCTTTCTTTTTCTGCTGCTATCCTCTCTTAGTTGTTTGTTTTTCCCTGCAGGGTGGGAAGATCCCAATACGGTGGACAGCCCCTGAGGCAATTCAATACCGAAAATTCACATCAGCCAGTGATGTGTGGAGCTATGGAATAGTCATGTGGGAGGTGATGTCCTACGGCGAGCGGCCTTACTGGGATATGACCAATCAAGATGTGAGTTGTTAAGAAACCAGGAGCAGGAACACTGAAATCAAGAGCAGATTGCAAGGCGAAGGCATGGTTATATCTAGACGTGGCCTGTGGCATGTCCAGAACACTCTCTGCCATGGGAGAGGTGTCCACAGTCAAAATCTTTCAGGATTCTTGTTGTATTGTTTCTCTGATGAGCTGTCTTTCAAGCTCTCTAGGCCTCAGGATAAAACATCAAGGTCTTGGGTAGACCCTTTGGTGTGCAGAAGGCTTGTCTACCTCTCTTCTGCAAGCCTGGGTATGAAAACCTTAATATAACAGCATCTTCCTGACCTCAAGTTTGTTTCAGAACTGCCTCTGGGAAGTAAATGGGTCCTCTACTGCCACCTCTATTCTACCATTCTGCGTGCTCTTCAGTCTTTGGGCTTCCCACCTGGCCCTCTCAAATCCTCCCACCCCAATGGCAAATTAGACATTTTTCAGGTCAATACAGCTCCATCCATACCATGTCAGGTTCAGAGAAGGGCAAATTCCTCCTCATTACCTAATGGGGAATTTGTTGAAACGAGTCCCTAGTGGCTGAAGCATGGCTTCCTTGTCCCAGCATGCCAGTAAAATCTTTACATTAGTTCTGTGTGACAAAGAGAAGGATGTTAAGTGTTAGGTCCTTCTCAGAAAGGCCTCATTCACATTTGGGTTGCATTATCACTTTCAGTTTCAAGCATGTACTGCAGACGTGTCTCTGCCCTCTCCCTGCCTTGGCATCCCTCCGTGCACTCGGCATTCTGCTTTCCCCCACTCGTGTCATTGTTCTCTCCCTTCTGTTCTGCACCTCTTCCCTTACAGCTTCCTACTTCCATCACGCAGCTGGTGAGGATGTCAGAGCCCATGCCCGTCTCCTCAGTGCAGCTTGCTGCATGCTGGCTGCTCCCCTGCCTCCCCAGCCTCTTCTCCCCCTTCTTGTGCCGCAGGACATCATGCCCCAGAAGCTGTCACCACTTAATTGCAGCTGATGCTCCCTGCGAATTAACACATGGCAGATATTCGCTGCAGTTTAGCCTCCTGACCCTTGGGTGTGAGAGTCTGGGGAGGCAGGGGAAGGAAAAAAGGATGGAGAGTGCAGGCTGTGCCCCCTCGCGGGGTGGATCTGCTGGCTGCAAGGCGGGTGGCTCCTTAGGAAATCATTCAGTCATTGCCAGAGCCAAGTGCTTGATGGTTGCGTGGACTCTCTCCAGTTCTTCCCCAGGAGAGTCTTAGGCAGCTCACCAGAGGAGTCCTTAGAAGTGTGCAAGACAAATCTATGGTGGCCGTAATCAAGGAGTGAGAACAGAGATGCTGAGATCCTTCTACCAGAGTGACAGGGAGCTGAGGTTTCCTGTTGAAGAAGATCCCTTCTGCGTCTGCTGTTTCCATTATATGTGACAAGGCCGTGTATTTTCCCAAGTCCCTCGGTGAAGCAGGGAGACACCAAAGAAGCATCAGGCAAAACCTTCTCACCATTACAGTCACCCTTAGGAGCTAAGAAAAGGAACATTAAGAGTTAAACGAGTGCCACTTTGGCCTACTCCTCCATTCAGTGATAAAGATGTTATTGCCACTCGATTTCTCTTCCTCTCGTTGCAGGTGATAAATGCTATTGAGCAGGACTATCGGCTGCCACCCCCTATGGATTGTCCAAATGCCCTGCACCAGCTAATGCTTGACTGTTGGCAGAAGGATCGAAACCACAGACCCAAATTTGGACAGATTGTCAACACGTTAGACAAAATGATCCGAAATCCTAATAGTCTGAAAGCCATGGCACCTCTCTCCTCTGGGTATGCATGCTGCCTTACTGTCTTTTGGTTTCTGTTGTTTGTGGCCTGACGGGCACCATCCTTGCATCTCTCCTGGGTAGCTGTTGTAAAGACCGCTTGACCCATGTTGTTTCCTCCTCTATAGAGGACCAGTAAAAGATGTCAAAGTCACTCTTGTCCCTCTGCTTTGGACTGAGTAATGCTGATCCATGTCATTCCAGCCGATGGAGGGTGCAGAAATGCATGTGCTTGCTTGCCGTTGCTCGCTGTGATCGTTCTCTATTTCTGTGTTTCAGGGTTAACCTCCCTCTACTTGACCGCACAATCCCAGATTATACCAGCTTCAACACTGTGGATGAATGGCTGGATGCCATCAAGATGAGCCAGTACAAGGAGAGCTTTGCCAGTGCTGGCTTCACCACCTTTGATATAGTATCTCAGATGACTGTAGAGTAAGTGCCCAGGCTTCTGGTCCCAAAGAGCAAAGAAAGATCTCAGTTGTGTAACAACTGATCACTAATTGAGTTTATTTTCTTTTCACATTGTTTTACAGAATTTGTTACCTTGTAGACCCTCTTCTGGTCTGTTCAATTTCTGCAGAACTGTCTCTATTCTGCAGGCAGTCTTTTATCCAGATTTTGTCCATCTATTGCTCTAGATCTGCAGAATTCAGTCCCGTGTTCTCACACTGCATGTGAAAATGAAAACTGCCGTTAGTGTCTCCAAAACCCCTCCATGGAACAAACAGAGATTTTACAGTGGCATCAGGCACTTCTCCAACCACTGGAGAACACTTCAGGACTCCGCAGTCCTTGTGCATGTCTGGCTTACAGGCAGAGGAGACATACATGCTACAAAAAAATTCTGGTTAAGAAAAGCCTCTGGAAGTCCACATGGTTTCACTTTGTTTTGAATTGTCCTGTATGCACTAAAAACTTTCCTCAGTGGCAAGATTTTAGCAAGTTCTTCAGAGAAAGCAGGCAGCTGAAATCCATTTGTGGTAGTTTTTGAAATCCCTTGGGACCAACTGGGGCTTTGATGCCTCTCGGGAAAGATTTGTAGTTGGTTGCAGTTAGCTTTAGAAACCCTTGCCAGGAAAGCACCAAGCATTAAAGCCATGTGTAAGTGCTGTGATGTCTCTGTGCCTGGTAACTAGGAAGGTTTCTTGGAATTGATGCCTAATTTCACACTTAAAAACTATCACTCAATCAGAATGCGTCCACACAAACAGCCAAACTGATTTTTTGGGGCTTTTTTTGCTCTTACTTGCTGCCAGGAAATTCACGTGGCAATTCTGACTGTTTCAGTGTATCCATGGTACAGCCCCAGAGCTTTGGGGGTGATTTTGGGACTGTGTAGGCTATGTTCACACTATAGGAAGAAAACCCTTAAAATCTGAAAGATAACGAAGAACTTTACCCAAACTGGGCCCACACCACAACCCAACCCTGCTAGATTTGGTGGATTTTACACAGTATATCTGTTGGATACATTGCAGCCAGGCTAATGAAGTCAGTGTTTTTCTTGGATGTGCTCAGTGTCCATTAAATGCTACTCTTCCCACTACCTTCCCCCATCCCTCACAGTATCTTCCAAGTCCTCTCTGTGCGCCTTCAGTGTTGTCACAGGGGTTCCCTCAGCTCATCCTCGTGTCCCCTGTCACTTCTGACAAATCTTTCCACATTTCTCACCTGGTTGGGTGGACAGAATTATAGAGGTGATAGGCCAAATCCTTTGTCCTTGGAAAATCATGATACAGCATTACTTGAGACCACCTTCTAAGGATTGTATCAGTGGAACTGAACTGCTATAAGGCCCTCTTTTCTTGAAACTGGGGTAGCCAGCAAAGTTTAAATGTTTACTGAAAACAGCTTCAGTGTACCAAATGCAGGTGATTTCAGTGCTGATCTACTTGAGTGTGAGCCTAACAAGGTTGAACAAGGCCAAGGGCAAGGTGTTGTGTTTGGGTCAGGGGTGTCCCAGATATGAGTACAGGCTGGGAGTAGAATTAATTGAAAGCATCCCTGTGCAGAAGGACCTGGGGGTCCTGATGGATGAAAAACTGGACATGAGCCAGAGTAAGGACTGGTTTTTATTCCTAATCAGAGTAAGAGCAGAAATCAAATTGCCAGACTCTTCCAACAGGAAATGTTCCCTTTTCTTAGCTCAGCATATTTGGCAGCACAGAGAAGGGAGTGGAAAGCAGCAAGGCAAGTAGTCACTGTAAGGACACCACCCTGGTGCCGGGGTTGTGTAGTGCTCAAACAGGTTTCCAGTTGCTTTGCTGTGCAGAAATTTGAATGGCAGCAAAGCTGTGGCTTGGGTGCTCACTCTCCCACCATCCTTAGAGACTGAAGGGTGCTTTGACAGCGGTCTGCAGCCAGAACATATGATCTGTTGCACAGATTCATCCTCAGCTTTCCTTCTTCATTCCTTCTTCCTCCTTGTGTTTGACCGGAGAGACAAGGTGTAGAGCAAGCACTAAAGCAAACACCAGCCCATTTGCTACTTGTTCTAAAGGATTTTCTTCCACATTTCCTTGGAGTTTCCATTTGCCCTGCTTTGCCCATTGATGCCCACTCTTAAAATTCTGTTCCTAACACTGAAGGAAAGAGAAAAGGCAATTGAAAATCCTTAAAGTAAGGCACGGATGGCATCTTACGAATGGCATCCATTCTCTGATCAGAAGATTCATGACTGAAATTTATCCACCAGCAGGGAGGTGAGTAGCAAACTCAGCTGGAGTGATCACATATAGCACTAATGCAGAGTAACACTCAGGCTCTTGGTGTGAGCTTTATCTTCCCCAGATGCCTAATATCCATCAGAAACAGCAGCAGTGCAAAAATTAGATTGCCACGCTTCAGAAAAGAGGATAAGTAGCAGAAGTTTTTCACTTCATGGCCTCATCAGAACAGTGTGGTGGATGTGGTACTTAGGGGCATGGTTTAGTGGGCAGTATTGGTGATAGGTGGATGTTGGACTGGATGATCTGAGAGGCCGTTTCCAACCTGAATGAATCTGTGACTCTGTGATAATTCAAGAGTAACAAAAGCACTCATCATCTTCACACAGGGAGTAACATCCGTGTATCACCTCCTATTCATCCATCTCCAAGGATGGAAAAGTAGGTTTCTAATTCCTATCTGACACAGCAGGAGAGAGAATCCAGACTTTCAGGAATCTAAACAGTACAAGGGTAGAAAACGTAAAAGCTTTTCAAAGACCAGTTCACTTAGAAGCAGTGAGCAAAGCACTGCATTGGCGCTCAGTATTGAGGTTTTCTGTGCTTGGGGGGTGCTGCAGTTATGTTGAAAATGCAAAGACTGAGAGGTTCATCCAGGAGAAGAAAAGGCAGAGGAGTGAAGGTTCCACCTAGCTCTCATTCACCCATTGCATTTGTGGAATAAGTGCTGCAGATACAGTATGGAGACTACATCTCCCAGCATAGCACGCTCCAAGGGGATGCTCATGCATAGCCTTGTTCTGATGTCCTTTCTGATCTTGGCTGATGTTTATGTGGTGTTTGTTTCTTTCCTCCCAAAGGGACATTCTACGAGTTGGGGTCACTTTAGCAGGACACCAGAAGAAAATTCTGAACAGTATCCAGGTGATGAGAGCACAGATGAACCAAATTCAGTCTGTGGAGGTTTGATAGCGACGTGCCCTCGTGCTCCACTTCCTTGAGGCCCTGCTCCCCTCTGCCCCTGTGTGTCTGAGCTCCAGTTCTTGAGTGTTCTGCGTGGATCAGAGACAGGCAGCTGCTCTGAGGATCATGGCAACAGGAAGAAATGCCCTATCGTCGACAACGAGAAGTCACCAAGAGGTGAAACAATAGAAAACAATGGAAAAAGGGAACAAGAAAAGACAGCTATTTTGAAAACAAACAAACAGTGAATTATTTTTAAATAATAATAAAGCAATTGCAGTCTTGAAAAGGGCTCCAAGACCAATGGGAGTCTTCAAAGGAAGAGAATAGAGCAGCTTCATCTATTTCCTCTTGCACAAGGGTTGCTGCAGCTGGGCCCAGACACCTCTGGAGTTATGAGACTTTTCAAGAAGACGAATGCAAAGAATGGTCACAAGAAGCACTTCTCTTTCTCACCTGGGATGGCAGCTCTGGGAATGCCCAGCAGTCCTTCCTGAAAGCCCTGTTGGCAAATCAAAGAGGAGAGCTGAAGCTCTTTGGTGCTGTGGAACCAAGTGCATCTCAGAAATTGTTGGACTTCTACAAAAGCTGAAGACATTTTCTTTTTTTTAAACAAGTAAACTGATACTAGAAGAGGCTGTTTCCGTCAAATGAGAAGGAATCTGTAACACTGGGGCGGGGGGTTGGGGAACGGGGGAAATCAGTCCTTTTTACATCTCTTTATTTTCTCTTGTCATGGAACAGTTTTGTGAGTGACAGTTTCCTAAGGGTCCGTCCATCCACCCTCCAATGGCATCATTGTTTCATACATATCATATGCACAAGACTTATAGTGATGTCCTCACTCGATGCCAATGATCTTTCCCCAGAAGACTTCCCAAGTACAGTATGTAGTAGATTTTGATTACAGATGCTGATGTGTACCTTTATTTTTCGGTTGTCATTGTTGGGAGATTCGTCCTTTTACCTTGCTTTGTTAACACCAATATGTGAGTTTGGGGTTGGAATTTTTTTGGTCGATTGGGGTGGTGTTTTTTTTTTTAACGAAAAGGAAACGACATTTCCAAGCATCATATCATTCAAGAACTTAAATCCTTTCCTTGCGGAAGGAAAAATTGCTTATTGACAATATGCCAGGAGAAAAAGTTTTTTATATGCACATTTCCTCATGTTTGCTTGTTTGTTATTTTGCAATTCGTTCCGACCTGACAGGTGTTCCCAACTGTTGGGTTTCCTGTTGTCTGATGAGACGAAATGATCACCTGCTCAATTCAGGGTTGTTGGTGCAGTGATGAGCAGTATTATGGAAGGGTTATTGCTTTTGTTTTATGGAGGGGAGGGAAAGATGGGAGGGTGGTTGTGTTCTGAGTGGGAATGATGGCTGTTAGAGCCCCTTGAGATGTCTGCTTAGAAAGATGTCAAGGTTGATTGGTGCACATGGTTTCTAGCTGCAAGGTTCTGGGTGCTTTGTACCATAACCAAGCTCTGTGGCAGTGCTTTGTGCCCTTTGGACACACAGTCCCTTCGTTAGGCAATGCCCAGTTGGCTCAGAGCATCATCTCAGCCCGTTGCCTCTAGGATAACACAGGGGAGCAAACGCTGAGTCCAGGTCTCTGTAGGAAAATGCCATGGTTGAAGCTCAATGACCAGATGGTGGGTTTATAAATAACAGAAATAAATACTTTAGTTACTGAACAGCTCCTTGATATGTATAAATACCACCAAACAAGTGCAGGGCGAATAGAAATTATAGCAGTGGGATTGTTGTCCCTGTTCAGCAGCACCTCATGTCTCCTGGAATGTGCCTACCAGCCTCCATGGTAGGGTTCAGCTGCCCACACGTGGCAAATTTGCTCACATATGAACCTGTGTTGATAAACCCTCCTCTGCCATTGCCATGTCATTCGTAGAGCCCTGCACTCATGTTCAGCAGCGTGGGCTGCAGGAAGGCAGGCACTGGGAGCTGGTTTGCTGTGTTGTCCAGGAGCTGAGTCCAAGAGGAAAGCTGTAGATGGAACTCCCTGTTCAGACCTCAGTGCCCAGACATCACTTTTCTAGATAAGGGGCCATTTATAAAGTACTCAGCATTTTCTGCTTTCAGATCAGATGGGAAAGCACATATAAGTGGCAGCAGAGCATTTCCTGCAACTGAGTTACTTCTCTGCCCTACTGCCTCCTTCAGGGCACAATCTGATGTAGAGAGAGTTTGGAGTGAGCAGACAACAGGCATTTCAGCTGGACATTTCAGCTGCCCTGTATGCAGTGTGTGTAGTGTGTCTGTCTAGCTGAAAGGATGTTTTGAATGCCCTTGAGGTCAGAAAGCACTGCTCCAGATCACGAAATGAACTCAGTTTAAAGAGGAGGATGCAAAAACTGATGGTGTCAACTAAACAGAGTGCTTTCAGAGGGCACACGAGGAAAGAAGAGTCTTCTCCAAGGCACCTGTCCCATAGGACTGCTCACGTGGGTGTCTGTCTCGCAGTGTAGTGGCTGTGCTTTAACAAGGGGCTGTTGTCAGCTCCCAGAGGCATGGCTTTCCCAAAGGTCTCAGAATCTTTTTGGTGACAGTTGGGGCTGAGGGAAGCAGGGTGCCATGCCAACCCTTCTAGCCACAGCCAACCACCTACTTTATGTGCAAGGGAGCTTTGCAGCACAAGGAGAGCTGTCTGACTAGAAAACTCACCAGCAAATTCCTATGGGGCAACCATGTGGAAGGAGCACGTGATGCCCTTCAGTTGTCTTTTCTCAGACAGCTCTTGGCTGTTCTGTGCCATCAGTGCATGCGTGCTCATGCCACGGAGGAGCAGTGGCCAAGCAGTGTCCTTTCAGCCAGTAGGGCTCGGAAGGACACTTCAGGTTATTTGTCTCAGTGCACTGAATCTCCTCACTGCATTAAACACATCTACCTACCAGACCCAACCCACTGTGAAAGAAGGGACCACGCGGAGCTCAGAGCCACGGCAGCTGCCTGCAGGGTAGAGAAAGCACATCCTTCTCTCTTCCTCTGACCAAAAAAATCACGTGATGGCAGTCAGTCCTACAATAATACACTCCCATCTATTTATATCAGGCATTGCTGCGACATCTGTCTGTGTTTGTACAGGACTAATGGAGAATGAGACCTAAAATGGAAATGATCCATAAAACACTGCAATTTTCTGCATCCCTACAGCTTTCCAGGGAGGATGAGGAACCGAGTTCCTGTTAAGTACTTTGGTTGTAAATTATTCTGGTGCATGCTCCAGTGGACAGCATAGTCACTGCAGTGACTTTAATGTTTATACTTCATGGGTATCAAATGTACTGCTATGAAATATGAGTGTAATGGCAAAATTCAACAAATAACAAGGGGAAAATGGGGAAAAGTCACGTGCAAACATTTACACTGTGAAATAGTTGTGCATATGCATGTGTGCATGTGTGAATACTTAACGAAACTCATCACCATGTTATTTTTCAGGCAGCTTGTTGCAATTTTCACATTTTCCCTCCATCTTTCAAGCTACCTCCAGGACCTCTTCTCCTCCACTGTTGCCCACTGCCATCTGCTGCCGAGGCCACGTTTGTCTTGTGATGGCATCCAGTAGAAGAGCTGAGCAGGACGCTAAGTTGCAAATATGTTAGTTGGCCAAGTTCAAATCACACAGAGTATCATGAATATGTGGGTAGTAGGAAGGTAAAGGATTCACCCACAATACTGCATTTTATGGATCTCTTTCAGCCCTCTAATTAACAGCAAAGGAGAAAAAAAATGAAAAATGAACTTAAAAGGCACAGCACTGCCATGAACTACTCACCAGCTGTGACACAGGGCACTACGGACTGCACTCCCCCTCCACAAATGATCTCCCTTTCTCCCCTAAGACCCCAGAATTTCATGAACTTGTAGACTTGCAGCTTGCAGCAGATGAGGATCTGTTTGTTATCATCTGGCTTCTTCTCTCCATTGCTTATTCTCTCCATCCTCACTACCACACAGTAGATTTCAACCTCTCCATGGGGTCCGAGTCAATTTTGCTGTCCCAGGGTCTGGCAGTTTTGCAGCATTACTTTAATATTATATTCAGAGGCAGAACATTTTATCCCCCGGCTCCATGGCAGCCATGGTACAGCAGAGCCATCAAGTTGGTGTTGGTGGACTGGTTGGCATCAGAACTTGCACTCTGCTGCATCATTAACAGTTACGTCCTCTAATAATGCAATAAATCTGTGTCTGTCTTGGATTCATGAATCCAAAATGTGTGAAGTAAGACAAAACATGTTTTAGTCTGTTTTTTTTCTTTCATCTCCCTTTCTGTGTGTCTGACTTGAGGCTGATTTACTGGAGGTCTTTTCCATCTTAACTTTTAACAAGTTCTTCACATGCAGGTTCAGCATTTTGCCCTTTTAGAGTTGTAAGAACAACTGATGTAGCATCAGCATGTTGTTGCACTCTGTGGCAGTTATCCAGTGCAGTTCAAAGCACCCTAAAGTTTACCTTCTTTGCTGTGTTCCACTCCGATCTCTTAGTGAAACTGGTGTTAGGAGTGCTTTCAGCTCGAGGATCAACAGTCCTTTACTCCCAACAGTTAAACTTTATTTTGGGTGGTCCTCGGTGTCCGAAGAGTTGGACTCGATGATCCTTATGGCTCCCTTCCCACCTGGGATATTCTGTGATTCTGATCTGTCCTCAGAATGGCAGCCCTCTTCCCTGGCGTTGTCTGCTTACAGCCACGTTGTGTCTCCAGTCCAGGAGTTGAGCAGCAGTGCCATCTGCTTACAGTGATGGTTCCACCATGTTCACAATTCAGTGCACTTCTGCCACTGGCTTTTCATGAGCACTGACCACAAAAATTATCTTCTGTGCTGCTGATTTCATTTTGTTATTGCTGAGAGCTACTGGAGTTCTCCCACTATGCAAAAAACTAAACCTCTATATTTCTTTTTTGCTTCAGACACATTTTGGCCTCATCTTTAGAATTCTTCAGGATGAGTCGTCCATCTCTGGGATGATTTTGCTTCCTGTAACCATTGAACCCTTCTCAGAAAGAGGACATCACTTCTGTCCACGTTTACTTCTGTGTGTGAGGCATTCCACAGTCCTCCATGAAAACTCCCTGCATCATGCAGATATGTCCTGGAATCTGAGTTATTGTTGTTCCTCTGTGTTATTTCTATGCTGTCAAATGTGAGCTGCAGAGATTTGGGACTAAAAGTGAGACATCATCTCTGCCCTCAAATCTGTGCTTGTCTTAATTTGTATTCTCCACTGCCCTACAAAAGACTCAGCAGCTTCTCATCCTTTCTCTCAGTTCTGTAGGAGATTTGCACTCCTCTGCAGCCCTGTGCTTTGTGGGATAGCAGCCACACACACGCAGTGTGGTCTGATCCCTGACTCATTTCTCCTCTGGCAGTTGGATGTTCGTAGTTCCCTGATTGCCATGCAGAGCACCACAGGATTTAACTGTGTGCCTCATCTTTTCCAGGAAATCCATTCTACCTTTGTTAAAAAAAAAAAAAAAAAAAAAAAAAAAAAGGAAACACTTGTTTGATCCTTTTCCAGTTGCCAATTTCAGGATTTTCTCAGTTACTTTAACTGTAGCTTCTACCTCTATCTCCAAGGTCAGTCTTCAGCGCTTGCACAGACAGCACTGTGCCCCTTGGAATCCTACTAAAGAGGAAAGGAATACACTTTTTGGAGACATCAGCAGCCAAACAGCTGTGTTAGAAAAGCTAATGGAAGGAGATCAAGAGGGACTAAGAGGAGGCAGGACAGGCAGATCCCTCTTCTGCCCCAGATATCTTTCTTCTGTGCTGCTCGCTCATTGATTGCGGTCTGTGAGGTCAAGTTGGCTTAAGAGGCTGGGGGTCAACATTGCACCCCCACTGAACAGTTCCTTGGGTATGGTGGACACCAGCCTGGGGCTGATGGTCTGGCAAATCTGCACTCTTACTTGGCCTTTGCTTTTGGAGAGTGAATGCAAAGACTGATTGCTAACAAATGCTAGCACTCAGCCTTCACATGAGAGTGTTGTTATGAGATCTCTTGTGTGCTGAATTCCCAAAGGGAAGAAACTAAGAGATGCAGAAGAAGGCTGCAGGAGCAGCCAAAAGTCTTTGGAGGTATTAGATTTTGAAATTAGGTCTGACAGAGGTAAACGATGGTGATAAGAAGTTTCACACCATTAAATAAGGTGTAGCGAAGGTGAGTAAGAAGGAGCCACCATTTCTCACAATAAACAAATGCAGATGAAGTGAAATATTTTATGGCACAAAGCACAGTGACTGAATGCTGGAGCTCACTGCTGCAGGATGTTGACGGTAAGAACTAGATTCAAGGGATGACAGATCAGTGTAAGTGAAACCTGTGTTAGCTTCCTCAACACAAAAATACCTTTTCTGTGCTTTCTGGGTCACAGATGCCACTGGCTGCCCAGGGAGCTGTGGGTGCCCAGTGCCAGGCTGGAAGGGGCAGCCTGATCTGCTGGGGACAACCAGCACACAGCAGTGTTGGAACCTCTGCATTGGATACTGGCTCAACTTGCATGAGCAGTCTCCGTTGGTTGCATGCGTATCCAATCATGAGTCCAAATGGACCCATGCACGTTGCCTCGAGGATGAAAATTCAGGAAAGGAGCCAGGCACAAGCTTCTAAAACAGGTGAAGAGGTTTCAATGTAATGTTGTCATTGAGGGCTGGGCTGCGTGCATGCAGTGAAATCCCAGAGGCATCCAAGAGCAGACACTGAGTGCTGGGGCGTCCAGGACAAGGCGCAAACAGGTTCAGTTATTGAGTACTGACCCAGTTCTGAAGCTGATTTTGTTCTCTTGTGTCCTGAGGACAACTTAGCTGCCAACAAAACTCGTGCCACTTAGGATACCTTTATAGCATAAATAAAAGCTACTTGGCAATGATTTATTTCCCTCTTCAGTATGGCCTAGAGATCCCTGGAAGCCATGGGAGGCTTACAGGAGCTAAGCAAAGGCACACAGTGCTTGGTGCCCTTGTATTGCCTTCAGATCTGTCTTGCTTCACCCCCGCTGAGACTCATCTCCAGTGCAACTCTGATCTTTCTGCTCCTCTGAGAGGGGAGAACCAGGCTTTTTCTAGCTGATGGTTTTATGAATTCTCTTATAAACGACTTGCCATAAAGATCTGGTGTTTTCTTTTAAGCTGTTCAGTGGTGAAAGGAAATAAGCCACCCAGCTCACCCTTCCCTGGATCAACCACATACAGACTGGACAGACACTGGGACAAACCAGGGACTGGAGGTTTGCATCTCTTCCTTCACTTGTAGATCCACAGAGACTTCATCAGAAGGTGCTCTGCTGAATGCCCTCCTCTTGTGACTTCATCCATCTTCCACACTGTGATCCTTACATCCCTTTTCTTTCCCATTGCTTGTCCCCTGGCATCAGCTATCTGTGCTCTGCATTTTTCCTTGTCCTCTGTCCCTTTCCCAGTACAGGAAAGCTGGATGGATTGCTTAAGTTTGGGTCATCTCCAAGGATTCTCCTCCTTGGGCCTGGCTCATCACATCTCTGCAGTAAACCTGTATCCAACTGGATTTCTTCTGATGAAAACATCCCACTCTGCTTGTTCTCCTTGGAAACATCATCTTCTTCTCATCCCAGATCTTCCTGGAGGAAGGAGGATAAATTTATATGAAACTGAGGCGAGAGTGCCAGGCTCATTGGTCATCATTTCCATGGAACAGTTAAAGGCAAAGGGCCCAGCCCTACCTCTTACAGCAGGTAAATGAACACACCCAGCAGTCTGAGCCTGAGAATTTCCCACCAGTCTTCCAAAAAATGGTCATGCCCTCCATGACTGACATCCACCCCTAAGGCCTCTGACAGGAGAGTATTTACCTGGTGCCTCATGTCAAAGGGAGCCTTCAAGTGGTATGGAGCCAGGCACAGCTCAGCTGCAGGGTTGCTTTTCTTCAGGTTGGTTGTCCAGAATAAGCTCAGCAGGGAAATCCTTCTTAGTTTTTGTGAGAGTGTCCAATTGATTGATGCCAGGGCAAAAACATAACAGATCTTGCTGGAGAAATGATCAGGGTATCCCACATAATGTGATGGCAGGACTTGATGATCTTAAGAGTCTTCTCCAACCCAATTGATCCTGCAGTTCTGTTAGGGGCATGGTTGAGTTGCTAGTGTTAGGTTAATGATTGGACTTGATGATCTTCAGGGTCTTTTCCTAAATGATCGTATTCTATTCCGTGATCCCCACTCACTTTGCCAAGCCACGCTCTGGGCAGGACACAGGTGAGTTGTAACTGGGACATGAGACCTCTATTCCAGTTGAGGTGGGCTCAGATGGTCAAACTACCTTCTGGAGCCCCAGATATCTCATATCTGTGGGCTGCTGAGGAGATGAAGAGCTAACATAGATGCCTGTGTTTCTGTTTTTTTAGGGAGGACCTGTCCTAGCTCAACAGTCAAACCTCAGGTTAGCAATGCAGAGGAGAAAGTAAGAGGGTCTCGGAGGGAAGCCTTATGCTGAAGTCTGAGAGGTGAGATTTGTGGGGAAATACAACTGTGATGTAGGGAACTTTGTAGGGAGATTTTGCCAGGCTCCAAATTCCTCGTGGCTTTGTAAGGATCTGGCAGTATAGGATGGGGGAATTATGTTTACCCTTCAGCTACCCCAAACCAAGCTTGTCTAGTCAACACCACATCTTACCATTCCCCCAAGTCCAAGGATCCATCAGCTGGGCTCCAGGGGCATCCCCAAGCCTGGTTTCCTACTGTTCATCATCCTGTGTGTTGGCCACGGCCCTGCGGACAACGTAACACTTTTCATGACAGTATTTGTATTTTTTTAATTGTGAATGGGGAGATAGTGTGCAGGTCCTTGTTACACAGGGATGTGTCTTCCATTCAGATCAGGGCTTCCCCTGGCTTCGTCAGATGTCTATCGATGTTACTGAGAAAAATAAAGAAAGAAATAAATCAGATGTATTTATAAAGGAAACAGAAACCGGCTGCTCCAATGCCTTTGTAGGAGTATTTTTAACAAAACATTTTTTCAAAATAAATGTGAATTGTAAAGTTTGAAGCATTTGCTTGTGGCTTTCTTTTCTAGGTGCTTTGTCAAACTTTCAGCCTTCCCAAGAACGCTGCTTTGGTGTAAATAAGAGCATTAGATAAACATAAGGGTTATTGATCTCTTAGGAGAGAAATATACCCAGAATGAGATGCTCAAAGCTGTGGGTGCCCCATCCCTGGAGGTGCCCAAGGCCATGGATGGGATCCTGGGCAGCCTGAGCTGGTGGGGGCACCCGGCCCATGGCAGGGGATGGGACTGGGTGGGTTTTGGAGTCCCTTCCAACCCAACCATTCTGTGATTCTGTGGTATGATTGATACAGCAACAGGCAAAATAGCAGTACAATAGAGCTCTATAGAGGGGAGTAATACTGTCCAAACACAAAACTGGTCTTACCTGTTCTTCTCCCAGACGGCTTACATGCTTTCAGAGCAAACCATTAACAAGAAACCTCTGTTGGATAGGTCTCACGTATAAACTTGATCTTCCTAGGCTGTAAGCTTTTACTTTTCTGACCCAAAAAGGGAACTCTCCAGGATAACGCTGTTTCTGCCTTCTGTCATCCATTCTCCAAATAACTGGTTGCTATTTGAAAGCCAGCTGCTAAGAAATGAGCAGTGAAATGCACAGCTCAGGTTCCCCTCTCCTCTCAACAAACAGCAGCCCAAAATCTCCCCCAAAGCTTCTCTGCTGCATTCCCCAGTGACTGAGTGGTTCGGATTTCCCTCCCATCACATTGATGCAAGCCATGCATAACTCAGTGAGCATTAGTGGGGAAAGGCTTGATGGGAAACTGCTGTGTAATCAGAATCTACCATGGGTGTCTGGGGTTGCAACTTCCAGAAGGGATAGTTACCAAAAGAATGACATTATAGGGAGATCTGTCACTACATCGCAGCTCTCCCTGCAGATGTGGCCTAATTAGGGACAGTTTCTCCTCAGAAGGAGCAGTGATGTGCTGGCACAGCTGCACAGGGGTGGTGAGGTTCACCGTCCATGGAGGTGTTCAGTGTGGAGATGTGGCTCTGAGGGACGTGGGCACGGTGGGGTGGGTTGGGTTGGGCTGGGTGATCTTAGAGGTCCTTCCATCCTGAATGATTCTGTGATTCTGTTATTCGAGTGAACTCTCAATACGTGATAGTCTTAAGCACAGCTCCCTGATCAGACCACATGCGGTTGGTTAAATGCTTTCTGGGTTTCTTAAGATCCTCCACACATCTGCATTAAACTGCTGTGGTTGATGCTCTCTGCAACAGCAGTTTGTCAGGTCAAGGTCTTCACAGCCTCATTCAGGATCGCACCTTCTTTGTGCAGAAGGCATTGTGCAGGAGGCTTGTTGTTAGCTTAGAGGCTGCAAAAATGCCTGGTAGGAATCCCCAGACTGAGTTACCATACAGGATTTCTCTTCAGCTCACAGATATATCATATCTGCTCTGAATATTTTATGTCTG